CCACCAGAGCTCCCTAATGAAAGTTGTTGTTGTTATGTGCCATCGAGTCACCTGTGACTCTTAGCAACACTATGTACAAGAGCTCTGAACCCTGCTCTACCCTGAACCAATCTCATCATCTCCAACACACCTAATCCCATTACCCCAGTCACTGTGTCAATCCATCTCATCCAGTGTCTTCCTCTCCTGTGCTGTCCCTCTACACTTCCAGGCATAGTGTCCCTCTCCAAGGACTGGTCCCTCATGGCCATGTGCCCAGTGTATGTGAGATGGAGCTTTAAAAGGCTTGCCTCCCGGGAGCAGTCTGGTTTCACCCTCTCTGGGACAGACCTGTTTGTTCTTCTCACAGTTCACAGTATGTTCAACACTCTTCTCCAGCAACACAACTCGAAAGCACCAATCCTTCTATCATCCTTAGTTATTATCCAGCTCTTACATGCAAAGCAACTACTTTTATTAAGCAGTGTATTAAGACAAATTGCATTGGCAAAGTCTGTTGTGAGGGATCTCTCTAGAGAAACGACATCAGGCTGGAGACTGTGGTGCTGCTGCTGGGGGTCGTTTTTTTGCTTTTTTTTTCTGTGTCTCTAAGGTCCCTGACAGCAGACTTTCCCAATGCAATTCATCTTAATACACTATTTAATAAAAGCAGTGGCCATGAATTTGGGAAAATAGGACTGGTGTCATTATCTCCATTCCTGGAAAGGTCTGTCTGTGTTGTATTTATGCTTTAATAAGAACTTCTATAGAATATCTCCTGCTTTGGCGTATCCAGAGCAAGATCTCACTAACTTTATTACCAGGGAAGGGAAGAAGAGTTTAATGGAAACCAAGAAACAATGAAACGTCCTTCAGTGTAACGTCCTACAAAAAGCTGTTTGACTTTGCATTAAGAAGCAATTAGATCCAGTGGGTAATATTCCCCTGAGTAATATGACACTCTAGACCCCAAAATCATTTCTCAATTTCATTATCCTGGGAGAAGACTGAATTCTTAAAAACCTATTCACATAATCCTGCGGTTAGAAAATGTGTTGTTGCCCAGATGACAGCACGTTCTCGGTTGGGTGCCACAGAGAGCACGGGACGAGCGGAAAGGGGGCCGGCTTTGACACTAACCGTGGAGGACACCACTAAGCAGCTGTGGGACACTAGCCAGAGCACATAATGTCTCTGAGCTTCTGACCCTCCACAAGAAATCAGGTCACAGGAGTTCAGACACCCTGCGATTCCTCCTGCCTCGCTCCCCTGGGTTCAGCAGACACTGTGTCTTCTGCCAACGGAAGGTCTGTGGCATTTCTGCCTCGTGCACATCTCTCGGCTCTGTTTTCCCGCAGCATATGCTCACTTTCGTTCCTGTGACGCGCTTTCATCATTCTCACGAGCTTTCCCACTTTCTCATTATGCTATCACATAGTTGACAGAGCAGAGCATGATATTTTTTTAAAATACCAACAAACCACTGTTGTCCAGTCACTTCTGACTCACGGTAATCCTCTCTTAGGTTTCTGAGGCTGCAAACTGGAATGGGAGCAAAATGCCCATCTTCCTTCTCCAGAAGCGCTGACAATTTCAAACCACCAATCTTTCGGTTAGTAACCCAACTCTTAACCTACGATGCATGCAGGTCTCCTAAGATGACAGGATCGGGTAAATACAGCTGTTGCATGCACTGAGGAAGCAGCAAAGTCATGTGACTCAGTGTGTTGTGCTCTTTGCTCTGTTGTGGTGGTCTGGAACTGAACCCACAGAATTCCTAGGTCTGCCTGTCCCTCCCTACGCTGGGTAAGGAGTGTGCCATTAGTCCACATGACGGAAGAGTTTGCAAACACTTGACATGTATCATGAAAATGGTAGATAGCATTCACTATAAAACACACCGCAACCATTATTACTGATAGCACTTTTCATTATTGATGACAGCCAAGAATATGAGGAGTAGAACCAAAACTGGGAGATGTAACATTATTTCCCTTCTTTGTCTGAGAATAATCCGAGGGTGACGGATCATACCCCATTACAGACACATGCACATACTTCAAACAACCCTACCCTCACAGGAGAGCACAGTTCTAAGGACCCAGGTAGCAAAGCCTCCTCGTTTAAGCTGAAGCCTTCAATCGGATCTGAACTCACTGGCAGAAATATTCATGTCTTTAAGAGAGAAAACAACAGTGGCAGGGACCCGGTGACGGTCACCACGAGTCGTAACTGGCTCAGTGGCAGCGGGTCTGGACTTGGGTTCACTTTCCTAAGTTCACAAGGAGCTCAGGGGGGAGCAGTGGTAGGCACTCACCTTCCAACCAGAAGGTCAGAGGTTTGAACCCATCAGACTCCACAGGAGAAGAGCTGGCAGCTGCTCCCACAGAGCTGACACCTGGGGTCCCCTCTGGGGCAGTTCTGCTCTGTCCTCTCGTGTCACCCTGCTTGCATTGACTTGACACAGCGGAAGTCTAATAGGCAGATGGAGTTCTCGGGTGCTGCAGACCACATAATGCCTTCAACCTCTACCTGAAAGGCTGGCTGTTCTAGTCCACCCCGGGGCACGATGGAAGAAAGGCCTGGTGATCTACTCCCATAAAAGCAGGCACGGAAACCCCTGGGGGAAATAGTTCTAGGCTGACCCGCGTGCACCCTCACGAGCTGGAATCCACTCGACAGCAATGGTTCAGGTCTTAGACGAACGAGTCCTGGTCCACAAGGTGGTGGTGTCCGCTGCCTGGAGCTGATTACGACCTCTATGAACCCTGTGAACAACAGACTGGCAGCTTGCCCTGTCCTGTGCCATCCTCAAGCCTCTGTCAGAGTCACCTGCCAGTCCATAATGTGGGAATAGAATACACAAAATTTAAAAAAAACAAAATGGCCAGGAAATTCTCCCTAATATACAAGGAAGCAGTTTGAAGAACGCTGATCAGGAAGGGCTGAGATAGGGGGAGGTGAAGGGTCACGGAGCAGGGGAGTGTGGGAAGGAAGTTCTGGGAAGTCAGGCCAAACATGCAAGGTCTCAACCGCCGCTGGCCCATCTCTTGGCACAAACAACTTTCAACCCAAAGAAACAAAAGGGCAAGTCCCCTACTTGGAAACTCCGTCACCAAAGTCAAGAAAACAGCTTTTTACAAGCCA